CAATTCTAACAGAAAAAAGTAGAAATTATAGGATGAAAAATAAAACATTTGAAATTAAAATTTTTAGTACCACCAGATGGTACTACATAGCAAAATTAAATATTACAGATGAGAGAGACAGTAAATATGAGATCAAGTAAATTTTTTCCAAGCTGAAACTCAAAGAAAATAAAGATTTAAATTTAAAAGAGCCTCAAAGACATGTATGGCAATAGCAAATGCTTTGCCATTTGTGTACCTGGAGATATAGAAGGAAAGGAGTTGCAATAAGATTCAACAGAAACAAATATTCATAAATCAATAACTAAATTTTTCTAAAACTAAAAACATAAACTCAACATAAAAAGTTAAATTTAAGAAAAATCATGTTAGTTAAACCACATTTAGGCACATAATAGCTAAAATGGTAAACCTCAAAGCAAATAAAAGGACAATTATTTAAAAAATACAAAAATGGCAACCTACTTCTCATTAAATGTGTATTCTAGAAGTCCATGAATCAGTATACTGGCAGGAAAAAAAGCAAAATGTCAACCAAAATTCCATATTCTTTTAAAATGTCTTTCAAAAATAGAGCTGAAGTTACAATTATTATATAAAATATAAATATAAATATTACAACAAGTATATATGTATTTGTACACCTATATACACAAAGTTACACACACATATATGCATATGTATAAAACAAAGCTTAGAAAATGTATTACCAACAGATCTAAACTTCCAAAAAATATTAAAAGAAGTTTTTAAACTGAAGGAAAATTCTCGTAGAAAATTGTATCTACACTGATGAATAAAGAGCACTAGAACTGGTGAATTCGTGGGTCAATATAAAGTTATTTTTACTTTCCTTAATTTATTTAAAACAAGACTGGCTACTTATAAAAAATTACATTTTATTAGGAGAAAATTACAACATACATAGAGGTGTAATATATGACAAAATGTCACTAGCATGGGAAGGGCTAAATAAACATGCTACTCTGTGATTCTCACATTAAATGTTAGATGATATATAATTAATCCCAGATAAGGTATGATAAAGTATATACTCTAAATCCTAGAGCAGCTAGTAAAAAAAATATGAAGCCATAGCAATAGAGAAAATAAAATGACATATTAAGAAATATATATTGAAATAAATAAAGGTAGAAAAAGAAGAAACAAAAAAGAACATATAAGACAAATTGAAAATAACTAGAAAAATGGTAGACCTAAACCTGCCATATAAATACTTTCATCATGTACAAATGTAAACACCCCAATTAAAATGTAGAGATTTTCAGACTGGATAAGAAAGCATTGTATATAAGAGACAGACTTCAAGTATAAACTCTGAGAGCTAATAGAAGTAAAAGGGTGTTTCACTTTTTCACACAATAATAATGACACACATAAAAGACAAAAAATCAGAGAGAAAAGAAAGCACTAGAACAATTACTTTATTATAAAAATATATAACTAGATTCAAACTTCCTATACTATACATAGGCTAGATTCTAAGTTAAAAGTATGTGCTGTATTCCTAAAACAACCATTAAAATAACAAAATACGTGATTATGCTAAATAACACTTCCAAGGAGATAAAATGAAATAATAAAATTATCAAATAATAAAACATGCAAAAAGATTAAAAAGCAATAAAGAACACAGAGAACAAATAGAAAACATGATATATTTAGTCATAACCATATAAATAAACACCTTAAATGTAAATGGCCTAAATGGCCTAAATAACCTACTTACTAATGATTCGTTTAAGATGAAGAAAAACTTACTAATGATTTATTTAAGATGAAGAAATTAATATATGCTGCTTACAAGAAAGGCACTTCAACAATAAAGTCACACATGAATTAAAATTAAATTAGTAGTAATATATATACCATGATAGCACTAATAAAACAAATTATGGATGGCTATTAATGTCAGACAAAGTATATTTCAGAGTAAAGAATATTATTAGGCATAAAAATGGAATTTCATAATGACAAAAGAGTCAATTCGTTAAGAGGACTTAACAGATCTAAAATGTTATATACCTAACAACAAACCTCTCAAGTATAAGACAAACAACCTGATACAACTGTAAAAAGAAACAATCATATCTAAAATTTTAGGCAGATATTTCTATATTTCTCTGCCAATAATAGATTAGAACAAGGAAAATAAAAGCCAATAAGCACATGGGAGATTTGAACAAAACTATAAACCATAAGATGAAGTTTAGATTTTTAAACGTTCTGCAGAATAGCAAAATATACATTATTTTCAAGTACACATGGAATATTTGTTTAGATATACTATATTTTGACCAAAAATAAGTCTTATTCAATAAGAAATAGATGATTAGAATAACCTTGTGATATGGTTTGGATAAGGGTTCCCCCTGCCGCCACAAATCTCAGGCTGAATTTTAATTTCCAGTGCTGGAGGTGAGGCCTGGTGGGAGGTGATTGGATAATGGGGGTGGGTCCTTTATGAATGGTTTAACACCATCCCCTTAATGCTGTCCAACAAAATGGTTATTTAAGTGTGTGTAGCAACTCTCCACTGCCTCTTGGTTCAGGTTCTGCCACATAAGATGCCTGCTCCAATTTGCCTTCCACCGTGAGTAAAAGACCCCTGAAATCTCCCTCATGGAAGCCGATGCTGCTATGATTCCTGTACAGCCTGTGGAACCATGAGCTAATTAAAACTATTTTCCTCATAAATTACCAAGTCTCAGGTATTTCTTTACAGCAACGTAAGATTAATACACTCTATATTTATTAAAGCAATTTAACTTTGGTTATTTCTCTTACTTAAATTTAGTGCCACAAAGAAAACTCTAGGCCTACATGTCCTCTAATGAATCCTATTAAATATTGCAAAAATATTTACTCAAATCTTTACAAAAACTTAAGAGAAGGAAATATATCCCAAATCACTCTATGACTATACCATTATCCTGATTCCAAAATCAGACACACACATAATTTAAAAAAAGAAAACTACAGATTAATATCCTCCTTATATATATAAGTAAAAAGATACGAATAAAATTTTAGCAAATTAAATCCAACAATACATAAAAAAGAGGAATACTTCATGATCAAGTGGGCTTTATCCCACAATTTATCTCACAAATGTAAGACTGATTTAACATTCAAAATCTAGTCCTCTATATTAATAAACTAAAGGATGAAAACCATATAATAATTTCAGTAGATGCAGATAAAAGCAAATGACTGAATTCAGCATCCAGTCATCAGAAAAACTTTAAGAAGGGTAAGAGGAGGATAACTTTATCTAAATATATGTGCCTGGGGAAAAAAATAAAAATAAATAAAAACTATGGCTAACATCGTACTTAAGAGTGAAGGGTTGAATGCTTCTACCACTAAAATACAGGAAAAATACAGAAATATTCATTTTCACCATTTCTATTCAGTATAATTGTAGGGGTGTTATGCAGTACATTCAGGCAAGAAAAATAAAATACTAGCCAATCTTAAATCTAATAAAGGGCTTATATCCATAATATGTAAAGAAGTCTCACTACTTAATAATAAGGAAGAATGAAAATGGCTGAAAGATTTCTACACTCACTTCCTCAAAGAAGACAAAAAGATTGAAAATAAGCACAGAGAAAATCTTCTTGTTGCTGTTGATGCTCAACATCAGTAGGTATTAGGTCTAAGGCAAATTAAAACTATAATGAGATACTACTATTCTACATCCATTGGAAAGACAAAAGCCAAAAAAAAAATAATAAAACTAATAACATCATTTTTTGCAATGATCTAGAGCAACTGAAATTCTCATAGTAGAAATGTGAAATGGTGCAATCATTTTAGAATTCAGTTGGGAAATTTCTGAAAAGTTTTCTCGATTATCTGTAGTTCCAGCTACTTGGCAGGCTGAGGTGTGAGAATCACACCAGGTCAAGCCCAGCCTGGGCAATAGTGAGACCTTTTCTAAATAAATAAATAAATAAATAAATAAATAAACACAATACAATACAATACCACATAAACCAGCTATTCCACTCTTAGGCATTTACTCCAGAAAAACATATGTACATTCAAATACTTGTGTTTGAGTATTCATAGCAACTTTGTTTACAATAGCCTAAAATTGTAAATAATCTACATGTCCATGAAAGAATAAGGGAATAAACAAATTGTGGTATATCTATACAATGGAAGTTTACTCAGCAATAAAAATAATTGAACTGTGAAAACACACAGAAACATGGATAGATCTCAAAATAACTATTCTGAGTGAACTAAGTAAGATAAAAGATACATATCATATGATTCTATTTATAAATATTCTAGAACCTCAAATGGAAGAACTCAGTTTTGTAGCTGTGTAGGGACTGGGATGGATGTTGCGCAAGGAGGAGAAGGAGGGAAGGAATAAAAAGGGTATGAATAAATTTGGGGGAGAACAATGAATGTGTTTATTATCTTGATCGTGATCATGATTCTATTGTTTCATGTACATCAAAACTTTCAAGGTGCACATATTAAATAGCAGTTTTTAATGTTTCAATTAAATTTCAATAAAGCTGTAAAATACAAAATAAACTAATATAAAACAAAAATCATAAGCATTCAAATGTCTAGTGCAATTGATTATGATTATCCAAATAGAGACACAACATTCAGTATACCAAAACACCTCTCTAAATGCTGTGTAAACAGAATTTGGAAGTGTTAGAAAGTGTTCCACAACTGACATTTCCAGGTTTTTCCAGATGTTTTATATAATGGAGATAATCAGGACTAGATCATTATGTTGAAATTTGTTAGAATGAAATAACAGGGAGGAAGGTCTTCATAAGTGATGAATGTTGCAGACACCAAGAAGAAGTGAATGTGTGAATTAACTCAAATTTAGTATTATAACTATAAAGAGGTGATGAATAAATAAGTAAAAAAATATTACAATGACAACTGAAAATGCCATTTCATCACACAATTTTTTTTTTACATTTTTAAACAAACCATTTCTTTTTTTTTTTTTTTTTTTTTTTTTTTAGAATAACAAAAAATATTTTACTAAAACATAAGATTTACAGAAGTTTCCAGACAAGCCATACAAAATGGTCACAAGCTTTTTTTGAAGGGGGGAATCTACACTTGACAGCAATGTTATTAGTGAGGGCTGTGATGTTTGTTTAATGTTCCCATTTTGTTTCAAACAATCAAGCTTGTCCATCTACAGCGTCTAAATAAAGTTAGACTTGGCTAGAGAGCATATTCTAAAGACCTGGTTAGCTGCTTTTAACCAATGCAATTAGATCACCAAAAAAGGGGGAAAGGAGCCCATAAAATTAAAAATAAAACTACCTCCCCCCTCAAAAAAAATAAAATAAAATAAAGAAAAACACCCACACCCCTGCAGCTAACCTGACAACTACCTTCATTCACAGTGCTTTATACTTAAACCAGGATGGGGGAAATGAATAAAAGCAGGGAGGGGCCACTGCTTTTAAACGTTTCACAACAATCCAGATGATACTTCTAGCCTCTGTTCATGCTTTATGACAGTGAATCAGGACAAGACATAGATTTGCTAATGTGCATTTAATCACCAAAGGACTGAAGATGTCTGGGCTTTTTTATTCTGTAATGTTTCTAAGACTGTGTCCATTAAATGCAAACAAAAAGGAGGAAGTCTTGGCAGAACAGGAGAAGTGATGCACACTTGATGATCGGATCAATTTAAATATTATTCATGGCATATAGCCTAGTCCATGCTCTAGCTGTTTCTATGGCTTGGGCTTCGTTGGTCTTCCACTGCTCCGCTACATCATTTGCTAATGGATCATCTGGATTGGGAGCACTTAACAAGGCCTGGATGGATAGCAGAACTGTGCGGATCTGCAGTGCTGGGGACCACTTATCTTTCAAAATATCTAAACATATTCTTCCCAACTTGTCTACATTAGGATGATAAATTTTGGTCATGAAACGTACTTTAGGGGCTGCCATTGGGTATTCTTCAGGAAGGAATAGTTCAAGTTTAAAAGTCCCTCCCTCAAAGGGGGAATCTTGAGGGCCAGCAATGACCACATGAAAATAACGGGCGTTGCTCTCATCTGGTTCTGCTTTGATGCCAGGAACTGGTTCTGCCAGCAAACGCTGGGTTTCCTTGATGATCCTGCGGGGCAGCCCGGCCATCTTGTCAGAACCCGAGTTCGGCCTCTGGTCTCGTCTCCGGCTCCGCTCGCCTCACGCACGAGTGGAAGTCCCAGGCTCCACTGCAACAAACCATTTCTTGTTTTGACATGTCATTAATGATTATGTGAACACTCCTTTGAAATATTCAATACTATTTAAGATATTGTCATTTTTTTCAATTGTGTCAGCAAGATGAACTAGTAATAACTTGTTTTCATTTATTTTGTATATTTAATAAATTGCTAAAATGTTCTAATGTTACAAATACTTGAAAAACATTTGTTATATTTACTAAACCAATACTAATCTTTAAATTGCTTTACATATTACTTTATGCAATGAAATTTTTATGACTATAAATGCAACTGTGCTTCCATTCATCTTAACAGGGCATGTAATATTTTATCTTTAAATGACATTGCAAATGAAATGTAAATGATTACAAAACTTAAAATTCAGGTGACTATACAGTTTAGGCTTCTGATAGTATAATTTTATAATTTGCCTCAATCAGACTAACTGCAGAAATAGATGAACAATGAAATTCTTTTATTAAGTTACGTCTTGGTAGTATTCATTAATATCATTCTACACTTTCATTTCCATTCACCTTAGTGGCAATTCATTATTTATTTTTGAGTGGTATTAAGAATAAATTAAAATATTTTAAAAAGTCCAAATAACCTCACTTGACTGCTGTATTTACATCAAACCTTTCAAGTTACTGCGGTACTTATGAATAATAAAACATATCAAGTTACATAATGTATGCTCAATACTTTTGTTTAAATAAAATTTGATTTAATTATATGTACTAAAATAATATGAACTACATTATAATTTTGCTTGTTTGAACAAATGTTATGATAGAAATTTAGAGAAATTCCATAGGGAATTACTGCTGGTTTGCACTCAAAGCAATCAATTATATAAAACGTTACACAAAAAAATGCTAATGCTTGGAATAGTGTTTGAAGTTTCTCAATTAAGGTTATAAAATTGTACCTTATACTTGATGCCAAAAGTTTTATCTTGTTTTTCATCACAAATATAGCCATTTGCTAAAGCTGTCTATCACTTCCAAAATGACATATTGTACGGCAAATAAATGTGAAAAATGTGATGTGTTAGACACAAAGAAAATGAGAAGGGAATGGAAATGAAAGGGAAAAAAGTAAGGCACGTGAACTTGCACCAAACTTTGAAAATGAGTTTTGTATTACACAAATCTATTCTCCAATGGTAGGATATTCAGTAGATAATACAAAGTATTGCTCCTAATAGCTTTTAGTACTACCTGTTGTAGCAGAAGCTTTTCCGGTTAATATTGAGGCCTTAGAAAAGCAATTTGCTTTGTGGAATAAAAAGGAATCAGCAGAACCCAGACAGAGAAATCCAATTTTATCCTCAGACAGACGCAAAGCTGTGTGCCTTCCATTTTAATGACTGACAGCTTCTATTGCTTTGTACAAGCATCATGTAACAGCTGAACACAACCACCAGGAGAGGCACAATCAAGCCCCAAAGCACTAGTGTCATCTTCTGTGTGAGCACACCTTGGATTCAAATCCAGAGAAAACTATTACAAGCTCATGAATTTCTATGCTGTGTTTCTATGACAAAATGAGCAACATTATATATAAACCAATGTATCCTTGAAAAATAGCACTGGATTTATGAGGAGGAACTCCTTGATATATTGCATTGAGGAAGACCTCAGATTCCCATAGGCCTACAGGTTAAGTAATTTCTTTCTGTGGGACAAAATAATAAAAATATTGAGAGGGTTGTGCATGGAGAGAAAAAAATGGAGGTAGGATAAAAAGACAGCAGAGTACAATTGCCTGTTTTGTTACTTTCTGAACGTGCAGTTCTTCAGTAAAGTTACTAAGTTCAAGAAATATGTCATGAATGTGTTCATGTGGAAGCCTATGAAAGAACTAAATTTTGTGATCTAAGGTAGCATCTGGACCCGAAAAAGGACAGCAAATGCAGACCAGAGTAGAAAGGCAGAGAGATCAAGACAAGGAAGGCAAGGGCAGATAGAAAACAATGTGAAGAAATTGAGGGAATGACTCAAAACATAAGAAATTGGAATTGAGGGTTAGGCCAAATTTATACCCCGTGAATCTTTTTTTAGAGCTACCTTAAGTGACCACTGTAAACTAAATTACATTCCTATGTCTAATAATTTAATTTGTGATTTAATTTCATTTGCTGTTATGGTTTTGACTTCCTTAAACTGAAAAATGTAATTGCCAGCTCCTGCACATCTGAAATCAATTTTGTCAGCATAGGCAATTAGTTAATTGAAAACTGGAAAGCAGTTTGGAAAAGGGGAGATACCCTTCAAAAGTATTATTTAATTTAATATTTATATTAATGAGATGAGAGCAATTAAAGTACTATATTACATTTTTGTTTCAAAGTGGCTAGATACACATCTATTGTGGAACTTAAGTTTCCTTCTTATTCCAAAGAAAGATGAAGGCTAAGTACATTTGCTTTCAGCTCATGGTTTCATTTTTCAGTACATGCCATGCTTAGTTTTCCTCTTTGCAGGGTTGTTAAGCCTTTTCCAGTGAAAGTCCAATTTTTAATATAATTAAAATCTTAAGCCAAAGGAATGAAAATGAAGCCATTACTTTTCAGAGTCCAATGTCAGGTTTACTAATAGGACCTCAGAATTAGTAAATAAAGCCAACAAAAATTGGATCCCTTGGGAGTGTTTCCAAAGCCCATTAACTACTCATGACTCAGTGTTGGTAATGAAGTCAGTGATTATCACTAGGTACTCATAGGCAGAATATTTTTTAAAGAATCTCTTATTACTCTTCTCTCTCTGTATGTGTGTGTGTGTGTGCGCGCGTGCACACCTATGTATGTATGTATGTATGTATAAGTACTTTATGTGCATATGATTAAATATATACTTTCTGAAAATTTAGGGAATATAGTTAATCATAAACAAAATATCTTTATAAAACTTATAATATTATTATTTGTTTTGAATTTAATACAAAGGCACTAGAATATTTTGGTCTAATTAAAGTAGTTAGACTGTTAGTCTGTGGTATCATATCTGAATAATGATATTAGTTATGTTGAATGTATTTATTCCTGTAGTGTTACTAACAAGTTCATTAGCTACACATGTTGTTGAATATTTATAAAGGGAATTGTTTCTATAGTTAGTGTAGTTTTAAGCTGGCATCTTGCATTTATTTAAAGGTGAGGAAATAGTCTCAGTAAAGCAAGCTTGCTGTAAAATTTTAAAACTCTATATTCTAGGTTGTTTTGCCTCCTTTTTATTTATTTTTGGGTTTGGTTATTTCTGACTTGATACTTCCTTTCTCACTCCAGCGTATAACCAGCAGATTTTGGAGTCAAAGTACTGTGCTTGAATACAATCCCTTTTGATCTACCAGATAGGGATCTTAGCAAAATTGCTTAAAATCCCACAGCTTATTTGCTCATTTATTCAAATGAGATGATAGATAAAAATCTCACTAAAAGAAGCAAGGCATGTAGTATGCATATGACCATTGTCATCATCAACATATCACCAGTAACACTGTTATTATTAATTAATAATATCATCATTGGTTTACTCCGATTATAGATTAACATTATGTCTATATGTCTGTTTTAATATTATTCATCATTTGGTTTGTGGCTAAAATCTTTATTATTGTCTTTATTGTTATTGATTTGTACCTACCTACTGAAAGTATATTTCAGGATTATTCAAGAAATACTAGGAATTCTTAAAAGGTACTTTTATTGTGTCAGAAATAATCTTTATATTTTGCTTCAATAAATGTAAATTTATAAGATCAATGTGAGTTTAAACATAACCACGAGTTAGTCAAAGGAAAATAGGTCATAAATGGTTCAGATAACATGGCTATTGGATATGATTAAGTGTCAATAGAGTTGGGAAGAAAAGGCCAATGGCACAAGCAGAAATGTAGGCCTCTGGTTAACTGAATATTTAAGGTAAGGTGATAGGACCAATATATTTGTTCAAGTTTATATTATACCCTTACATGCCATATCATGACCATTTTAGACCTGCTTGGCTTACTTTACCTATCCTCTGGGCTCTATGGTTATTGAAGAGAGGAATTTTTCTCCAACCATGACAGAATTTGTTCCATTAAGGTTATGCATTAAATCTCAAAGTTTCATAAGCATTTGTTCTTTGAATCTTTTGATGAATTACTTCTTCTTATTGAAAGTAACTCCAGATAGTTGTCATGAGTTCATGGGATCTGTTGCACTAATCACTTTGGCCCCATCTTATTAACATTTTAAAATTTCCTGGCCCTGGACTATAAACTGCACACTCTGGGTTTTCCTTATTTTTTTCTCTTTTGCTTCTAGAAAACGGAATGTTTAGATAACATCTTACGTAAGTAAATGCTATCCACCCAACAAACTTCAAACTGTAGAAAATCGCAAGTATGCAGGAAAAAAACTCAAAATTTAAAAATCTGAAAAGTATTAAAAATTCAGAAAACTAAAAGTACAAAGATTATAAAATCATAAAGTGATTATAGTGTGATTAATAGACACAATTTAACAAGTCAATTTTGTTGATTTCCAGTATTTAAAGTTTTACAATCCATAACTAATAATGAACAAAGGAAATTCCACTAGAGGGAGTTTCACCAAAGCAACTGAAATCTCAGCTAATAGAAAACTAGAAATAATTGTCACATTTTTACTGAATGTATCATAAAGTAATTATTAATATTCTAAAAATATACCATGTTCAAATTTGTAAGAAGCACAGGGTCACCAAAAAATAATTTAAATGTCTATAACAAAGCAAATCTCAAAAGAGAAAATAAGGCATTTGAACATTAAAAGGACACAGTGTCACAGTTAATTTTCGATATTGAAAATTTCTTTGAGTACTATTCAGCCATAAAAAAATTAACATATTTTTGAAATTAACCTGCCATTCAGACATTTTCTTCATCTATAACTATTTGCCCAATGAGCAGGGATGCACTTTTCTACTTTGCTACTAAAAATATGGTTTTATTTACACATCAATGTGCCAGACAAAAGATATAAAGCACAAGTGGTC